AAAGCATTTCTCCTCATCTAGACTTTTGCCCTTCCATTTTATTTTTGGCCTTTGTAACACAAATATCTATGCAAGTGCTTGCAGAGTAAAATAATGCGCTTGCAGAATTGCTTCCACTCACTTGCTATATAAAAATGTTTTTCGGAGTTTTGAAATCATTAGGTGTTATAATGCTACTTGGTACTTGTAAAGTACACGGAGAGGTTGTAAAGTGTGCGTTTGACTCATAAGATCTGCCAATGTTGCTTTCAGAGCATCACAACCAGCAATCTTACGATTCGTGAGCGCTCACTCTGAACACCACATTTTTGGACTTGCGCTTCTCAGAATTTATTGTATTTTAAATGAATAAATGTTTGCAATTCGATGCCTAGACACATGAAACGTGCAACAACACTAGCAGAAGTTAAGAGTCATTGCATTTCACACGTTCACGTTGTCTTGTGAGATTTTTTTTTTTAATTGATTGATAAATAACGAAGTTATCTCTAACGGAATACTTTGCATGGATTGCTGTCATATCGATTTTTTAATAATTATTGTAACACTGTAAAAACTATTTTGTTCCATGTTGCTGGATTTTTAAATTTTGATTTAATAGTAGTAGTTTAAAAAAAATAATGTTGAGTAGTCTTCAAAGGTTTGAGCCTCGCGTACGTATTACATATATGGAGGGCTGAATTTAACGTAAAGGTTCAAATTTGATAAAAAACGAAGCTTTGAAGCTTGTTTGGAAGATGCCTTGAGTTAGTAGTAAGTATTCTGTCTTAGTGTCGGTGGTTTGTGAGCATTCCTGTGTTTGTTGAAAATAATGATAGCATTATAAAGTTGCGGGATTGCTAGCGTATTAGGATGCTTTGTTGATTGTTCATGAATTCTTGATCGCTTGTAATACTTATGAATATTTTAGGTGGACAAAATAGGTGGATCATTCAGGTAAGCGTTGGGCAGATTTGGATTTTTAAGATATAATCCTAAATGGGACCTAGATTATTTAAGACTCTAGTAGCCTCAAGTCCGTGCTCTGTCACAATGTTTCATTGTGATTAATCAACACTCAAAGGGGTAAAATATCAAATTTGGGGTGAATTTGAAAGAAAGGGAGCTTGAAGTGTAGACCGCACTGCCCACTGGACGATTCTGAAGCCTGGCCAAGTGAGTGGGTTGAAATTCCATTGAAATCCAATTCCAATTGATTTCCAATGTATATATTGATGCATTCAAACCAATGGCATTTGAGATAAGACAGAGATAGGATGCGGAGGGCCCGCTTATGTAATGGTTTATTGGTTATGTTATTGGTTTAAATAGTTTAGATAGGCTAGAAATGACAGGTTTATAGTGAGAGAATGTACCATATGGTGCCCGTTCACTGATAAAAATCAAATTCACATTGTCATGCCCTGCGCAAGAATAAAGGGAATGATGATGATTTATCAAGTTTTATTTTGCATTTGCATATAATTGTTATTGTAAGTTTGGTTTTGTAATTATAAGATAAATAGTTCACCTCATTTGAAACATTGAGTTCTATAAACTTGACGAATCATACATATAACATAAATAGTAGTAATTACAGTGTTGCATGATCTAACGACAACTGCCTGCAACTTATGTTGGAGGGGCCAGCAGGGCTGATTACGGATCAAAATTTTAACCATTACCATTTTACCAATTCGTCATAAAGTAGTTTTAATTATTTGCGGTGGACATTGACCAAAATTTGATTTTTTTTTATATAAATGTAATCCTTAAAAGGACCTAGATTATTTAATAGCCTGGCAACCTCAAGTCCGCGCTCGGTCACAATTTGTAGTGTGATTAATCAACACTCAATGGGTAAAGTATAAAATTTGAGATGAATTTGAAACAAAGGGAACTTGGAGTGTAAAGCTTGCTTCATTTAGAATTGGAACAAACTTTTGCTCATATTGTAGTGCTCCTGGTGGACGGATTTGGAAGTTCTTGGCGCCCACGTGTCGGGAATTTTGTCAGCTTCATGTATGTATTTTTGACATTCCGCAAATCGACTGTACCTACTTTGTAAACAATCAACATGGAAGCCGAAAGAAGGTAAAAAATTGTTCACAGTTATTTGGAAAATCCATTGTGGTCTGCATCTAAGCTAGCTAAACAGCTGAAATTGCCCAGAAATACCGTATGGCGCGTTATGAAACGGTATAAGGAAACATTGACGACGATTCGGAAGCCTCAAGCCAATCGTCGGAGTGGAACTGTCGACCGGAAACTGCGTAGTAAGATTTTGAAGACGATTAAGAGGAATCCCAATCTGTCGGACCGTGATTTGGCCAGAAATTTCGGTGCTGCCCATAGTACCGTGAGGAGAACTCGACTCCGGGAAGGAATCGAGTCGTATCGAGTTAGCAAACAGCCAAATCGGACCATAAAACAGAATAGTGTGGCCAAAATCCGTGCGCGGAAGCTATACGACCAGGTGCTGACCAAGTTCGACGGGTGTCTTCTGATGGACGATGAAACCTATGTCAAGGCTGACTTCGGGCAAATCCCAGGTCAAAAATTTTACTTGGCAACGGCTCGGGCGGATGTTCCAGCCAAATTTAAATTTGTTTTTGCCGACAAATTTGCACGAAAATTTATGATTTGGCAGGGCATTTGCAGCTGTGGCAAAAAAAAAACAAAAGTTTTCGTTACAAATAAGACAATGTCGTCGGAACTTTACCAAAAAGAGTGTCTCCAAAAACGAATTTTGCCGTTCATTCGATCCTACGGCCATCCCGTAATGTTTTGGCCAGATTTGGCAAGCTGTCATTACAGCAAAGTCGTTCAAGAATGGTCTGCAGCGAAAGGGGTCCAGTTTGTTCCGAAAAACCTTAACCAACCCAACTGCCCCCAGTTCCGCCCTATTGAGAAATACTGGGCAATCATGAAGAGGAGACTCAAGGCAAAGGGAAAGGTTGCCAAGGACATCAATCAGATGAAGACCTGGTGGAATGGGACGGTCGAATAGGGCACCCGATTGAAGCGATTTGGACGGGGAGAGTGAGAATGCCAACTCCCTGTTGATAACATTTCGTGGATAAAGGGCGGGCTTTTCTCCCCAACTCATTGGGGCATCTTCCTGTTTGGGGGCTTGTCTTTTTGACCAATTGGCTGATCAAGTTGCTGGAAGGAGATTCTTCATTGTCCCGTAGATACGTATAGGCGACTTTGCCTATCGATCTACCCAATCCGTTTTTGGCCCTTCATACAGCGACATGTTGAGGACAATCAGAGGTTATTAGGCTTGATCAAGACCAACAGAGAAGAGAACCCACTGCTGTCGAAGTTAGTTTCTGTGCTACAATGGGTGGTAAAAACTATCATCATATCATCTTCACAAAATAGGTGGAACATTCAAGGTATTCCAGTGTTGACAAAATATCAAAAAATCAAGTCTCACCAAAGCCCACGATCACGCTTGATTTTTCTACAACAAGCACACAACTGCGGTTGATATTGCAAGCTGTGATGTCGCAGCTAGGAATATCAAGCATGTAATTTTCTCCAATTTTATTAGAATTTCTGAGATCAAAATTTAAATACTAATTAATTTTCATCCAAGTCTGATATTTTGAAAAAAATTCAAAATTTTTCATATAAATCTTAATCTGAAAAAGATCCAGTGAGTCTCAAAACGTCCCTGGTGAAGAAGATTATTGTATAAATCGTTATCTTAAATAAATGTTCTACTTGGAGATCTCTCACCAACATTTCCTTGTATTTCAAGTTATCTGTTCCTGTTCAAATTTCGGTCTAGTATTCGTAAAATCAGTGTTTTTGTAATCCAAATTAAAAAAAAAAAAACATTGAAAAGCTTATGAGCTCTTGAAGTTATAAAATTGATTTAAATTCTGGAACCAGTGCAGTTTTGTGTCGTCGTTGAGCATTATTAATTAACAACAACTTTAAAAAGGATAACAAATTCTTAATATTAATTATGTTCATAAATTAAGGAAACGAGCATCCGTTATGTATCCTTCCACAGACATTAAATAATTGTGCATATTCTTTTGCCTTTTTGTTAATTGGGATTTTTAATTTCGAAAAACACACTGAAAAGTTTCGTTTTCTTAATACAATTATAGTCTCTGTTCTACATCACACATGTTGGATACGGGATGTCCATGTGTGATGTAGAACAGAGACGAGTTGTGTTTGTTCACATCGACCGATACTGAGTGGTTGCGGTACAAGCACATATCGTCGGTAATAGACGATTGTTGTGTATTGAGAACGCTTGCGCAAAAAGACTAAGGTAGGGAAACGGATTCGAAACTCATATGTCATTAGCCAAATACATCCGTAGACCATAGGTCCACCGTTGTATAATTGGTAATGCACCCGTGTACTGAATGGGAATTTTGGGTTCGAATCCCACCGGTGCCCTTGGATTTTTTCGCAAATTTTCTCACACGCACGTCTCTTGCCGATGATATGTGCTAACCTCTCAGTATCTTCTAACTGTCGCATATAACAAATAAAAATTGACTTCCAGTCGCTAACCTAAATCGAAAATTAATTTGATGATAAATCATCACTATGGCCCGGTGGTCGGAGGTGAGGCCAGCAGCTCATACAATTATAGTTTAATCGCTCCCATAGACATAGAAGTCGGTTTTTAAATTTTTAATTTTTGACGCAAAATCTATTAGTTAACAGCTCGTTCCCATTCAAAGTCCCACCGAGGGGTGCTAAGATGGCGTTTTTATTCTAATGCAATCCCACTTATTTAAAATAGTTCCAGTGCACGAAAATTGAAGAATTTTTGGATTAAGGTTCCATTTTTAATGCAGATTACGATTATGTATTTACCTGAACACCCCTAAACAACCCAATTCTTCAATGTTCAACAATGATCAACGATGTTCGGGAAAAAAAAATCACAAACATAATTTATGGATGTGCAGCGATTGGTTGAACAAAGTCAACGGCGTTGTCTCAGACATCCTCGGAAGTCACTAGAAGTCACTCAAACTCACCTCATACAGGAAGAAACAACTGTTGGCAGCGACCTGGACCAGATTGTACAGCCGAATAAAATTCTTCAGATCGTACGGCTTACGGTTCTCCATGAAGCGGGGCCCAAACTTGAGCACCGCCAACAGGTAGACCGCAATTATTGCTGGCACTTGCCAGTTGGCATCCATCAGCGGTAAGTCGGCACTCCGACTATCTGCAAGCACAGAATCGCAGAAACACAAAACAAGGAATATCGTATCAATAAGGGGTAGATGGTGTAACGGAGAGCAACAAGGTTCAGGAAGTAAGTAGCATTCAAGTTGGCAGAGTCACATTCACTTTTCATGTCTTCTCGGATTTGAACTTGAACGGGAAAGGGCATCGCACTGCAATGGGACGTTCTTGAACTAGGCACTGAAATTGCATTTTCGTTTAACACCACCGTACCTCGATGATCCAATATGAACTGGTTGTAGCCATTGAACAGCTTCTCCATTATGAAAGACATATTTTCGTACGACAATCACCGGCCGCGAGTCACCGATATATGCGAATGCAAGTAGGTAGGTAGGTAGGTAAATATTGGCACTGAGACACTTGATTTTGGATAAATACTGTCTATTTGCAAGGTTCTTCACTCTCGATATGGCGATGATTATCCGAGGGGATTTCGTTTGCCAGTCGTTGCTGAAGATTTTGACTGGTTCTTCCCCAATCGAACAGAACTGGACAGAACAGAACGGTTAGCTTTCCGATGTGGTACTAAGCCGGGTTTGCTGCGCGATCATAGCTTATATCGTTCGACAGAACACCCTGCGAACATGATTTTCCAGTTCCTTTCGCACTCCGTTTCGCGTGTAGTTGCGCGCCTTTTGCAGAGTTTAGCTACCCAGCGATGTTCGCGTGCCAGTGTTGGGGTGGTGATAAAAGTTTGGCCTTATGGTGGCGTGGGGGGCGCTGCAAAATAAGTGACTACGCTCCTATGGTTATCCTTGGTAATGATTAAGGAAATTGATCTTATTGCCGGCTATTAGAAATGGAAGCGCAGGATGAGTTGCAAACATTATGGAGGTTTTTCGGAAAATTGAGAAATGCTTTTATTGATCCCTGTTGATGTTGTCTATCATTTGTTGATGCAGTAATATCTGGCATTGAACTGTACACCATTTTCTACTCAGTTGCTGCACATTAATATATCCTCCCGTACTGCAGAAAAAAAAAATAATCAGGAATGTGTGGCAAACAAAACGCACCACTAAGAATAGTAGCCGGCAAACTTTGAACGCAGATTATTTACATACATATATCACATCAGAGAGGAAAAAGTAGAAAACAAGCCCATAAAGCAAGCTGCGCTGGAGGCGTAACTGTTTCGATCGTAGCTGGCAGACAAGATGAGTAAGCGGAACTAACGTTGTCGTCAAGGTCATTTTCGGATGAATGTTTTTGTTGCAGTAAGGGAGTTGTTTCGTAGCGATAGAAACGATTGAAATTTGGAGCCCGTTTTTGTCGTTGTTGTTTACATCGGATGTCGTCGCACCTGAACTAGAGTTAACACATGGCGTTGTCTCAGACTCTGTCTGTTGCCGTGATATTGTGAGAAATTTGGGACAAAACACAATGCACAGTGGTCCAGAATGCAGATTTGTGGTGGAATGATATGTTTTGTTCCTTATAGTTAGGCCCTCATTTTTATGACAATGAATTCTAGGGTGGTTCTTATTATCATAAAATCAAAAATCTAACTTTTTTTTATTTGAAGAAATTAAGGTATACATTTTTCGGCAAAGTTATAGCTGAGCTAATTTCAAGCAAGTAAATTTAAAAAAAAAAATTGTATCTCTTAAATTGACCGATTAAGAGTTATTTTCTTGACTTGCGTTAGGGTGTCTCTATAAAAAAAAAAAGTTGTTTGCTCTAGTTTTCTTATTTAAAATTTCTCAGCAAAGGTGTCTTCAAAAACTTTTAGATCTTTAGAATTCGCAAATTTTTGCTGCACAAAACTTGTCAATATCTTTTGCCGATCAAGAGTAATTGACGATTTTCTACTAAAAATATGCCCTTGTCAAATGCTAACATCTCTGGTTGGGGCAACCAAAAAAAAAAAGGTGTTTTTACGGCATTTGAAAGGACGTATGATATAAAAATCAATTTGAATGTTTTTACTATATTTGGGCATATCTTTTTTATTAGAAGAGATACGGCCAATAAAATTCACTACAAAACATTCGTCTTAAAGAGTATTAGAAGTCTCTGGAAGATTACTTTCATGAGAAAATTGAAATAAAAAAGTCAGTGCTAAAAAACTATTTTTTTGTAGGAACAACCTAAGTCAACTCCGAAGAATTACTCTAAGTTCTCATTTAAGAGATAGAAAAAAATCATCTTCGACAAAGTTGCTTAAAATTAACTCAGCTATAAATTTTTAAATCATCACATGTCTTTACTTTGCAAAACAAAAAAGTTAGTTTATAAAAAAATTCTTATTTGACGTTTGCAAACAACAAAAGAAGGGAATTTTTAAGCACAAAAACTTCACTAAACTTCTAAATATTGAAACAAATGTACTTGCACATTTTATTTATATTTGTCATTAGAGTGGTCCTATGAAAACCATATTTTGTTTTAACTTTTTTATTTCAATTTTCTCATGAAAGTCATCTACTAGAGACTTTTTAAACTCTCAAAAATGCACGTTTCATATTGAAAGTTGTGGTCTGTATCTCTTCTAACAAAAAAAGATATACCCAATTATAGTAAAAAATACGAATAAATTCAAATTGATTTAATACGAGTTGTACAAATATCATACCCTTAGTTTTTCCCATTATTGAGAATAACATACGCCCTTCAAAAGCCGTAAAAATTTTTTTTTTGTTTGCCACAACCAGAGATATTAACATTTGAAAAGGACATATTTTTAGTAGTAAACGTTTACTCTTGATCGGCGTAAGAGCTTGACAAGCTTTGTTTAGCAAAAATTTGCGCCTTCTAAAGATTTAAAAGTTATTTGAAGACACCTTTGCTGAGAAATTTTAAATAAGAAAACTAGAGTAAAACAACTGTTTTTTTTTTAGAGACACACTAACTCAATTCAAGAAAATAGATCTTAATTGGTCAATTTAAGAGATACAAAAAAATTTTTTAAACTTAGTTGCTTAAAATTAGCTCAGCTATAACTTTGCCGAAAAATGTATACCTTAATTTGAAGTACTATTTTACTATGCCACTAGATGTTTTGACAAAACCTTGGCTAATGGTATCTTTCAATATTGATTTGTGTGTATTTTGAATGAATTAAAAAGAAACGGTGTTCCATTGAATAAAATAGCTGGAAACGACAGTTTGTCACAAATTACTTAACGCAAGATTTCAATACCGCCTTGTGCATTCTTGTTCAACTGTAAGAAAAGCATCATAAAATTGCTTGGCTCCAAATGACAGTTCGTGACTGCAGCCGTCTGGCTGCATTTGACGTTCCATTTTTCTCTCTTCGCGACTCTCCCTCAGGTTAAGATGTTTAGTGAACTTTTCGTGCATTTTTTTTTATTATTTCAGTCCTAAAGACTGGAGCGTGCAAAAATTGGTCGACAAAAAAATCGTTTCTTTCAGTCAAAATTCATACCACAAAAATTTTCTTATTTTTCTAGTTCAATTCATATATTTAAAGGAAAAAATGTTTGTTAATTCTTTTGGTTTGCCAAATCCAAACTGCCGTGCCTTCCGCTTAACCCCTTCCATTAAATTTTGCACAGTGGTCTCATCGACCTTATCCGCCGCCGAACGCCAGTTAGATTTATACTGCTGCTCGTTTTCCATGGATTTATTAGGTTTTTTGAGATTCCGTTTGACCAAGGCCCAATACGGTTCGATAGGGTGGAGTTCTGGGCTGTTGGGAGGGTTGTGGTCTTTGGGTACCACAAACACGTTGTTCGCATCGTAACACTCGATTGCCTTTTTTCCATCGTGGCAGCTCGCCAAGTCCGGTCAGAACAGCACAGGTCTATTATATTGCTTTAGGAATGGTAGCAACCGCTTTTCCAGGCACTCCTGGACGTAGATCTCTTGATTGATGGTTCCCGTAGTAATGAAAATGCCACTTTTTAGATCACACGTGCATATGGCCTACCAGACGAAATATTTTTCGGGAACATCGATAGTTTGATGGCGTTGAAAATTTCAGCCACCTTCCCTTTTCCTGATGCGGTATAAAACTCTTGTCCCGGAGGCTGATTGAAATCCGCCTTCACATAAGTTTTGTAACTTTGTGAGCAGATTCGTATACAGCTTTCGGGACAGCTGCTTTGCCGCCGTGTTTTGTTTGTAATCTCGGTTCGCCACCTTCACTTTCTTAAACGTCGACAACCCGCCTCGTTTCTTGGCCCACTGCACAGTAGTATGGGAGACATTGAGCATGCCAGCAACGTCCCGGATGGAGAGGTTAGGATTCCGCTTATATTTCACCGCCACCTTCTTCGTCGTCGCTGCCACGTCCGGATTACGATTGCCACCACTTCCAGGCTTCCTGGCGGTCGACAGCCGCTCCCCGAACACTTTTAAAACGTTTGTTACGGTTGAATTGGCCACATCCAGCAATTTTACCAATTTAGAATATGAGAACGTCGGATGCTTTTGCTGCGCGAGCAAAATTTTGGCACGCTGCTTCTCTTGCTTGGACGTCATTTTGAAAACTGGAGAGCAAACGGTGAAAACTCATCGTAGCAAGCATTGTATATACAGTCAACTTCGAAATGCAGCATTTCAGGTTTTTTTTGCATTTTTAACAGAAATACATAAATTTTAAGTTGACCAATTTTTGCGCGTTCCAGACTTTATGTACATATAGTAAAACTCGGCCAAATTCAGGAACTCATAAAAAATTGAATACATAGTCTATTACATTTGGTTCCTTAATTGCAATCAGATATAAGGAGTCCATAATTTTAACGTTTTCTAATTACATAACTGGAACTTATGGATGAGTACCACATCATTATCAACGTCACCGTAAGGACAGGTTTTGAATGGTTGCAATAACAACGCGATCGTAGCTTGTATGATGTGATATGAGGGGCTTGGTGGCCTTAGAGCGACTATACTTGCTTACTGAGTAGAACATCATGAGTTTAATCTTGTAACGCTGTGTGGTTTTTCTGTAAATACTATATCAATTAAGTTCAACTAAATTAAAAATATTTATTTATTTTTAATTTAGAATTCATTCAGTAGTGAAATATTTCGATCGTTATTTATGGTTAGGTGTCCTGGATAAAACTTTTGCTATATTTTGCTATAAAAAGCTCACCAGAAGCTTTTATTGCACATGCGCCATGGAATACTTCGCCATTTGAATAGTTTGGCGCAATTTTTGAATGAAAGAGTCGCTTTTTAAAAGACAGCCTTAGTGTCTAAAGAAGAATGTCGTTAGGAACTTTCTTTCTTGCGAAAGGTACTCTGACTCGTCCATTTCGTTTCCAAATCGGCTGGTGAACAGAAGTGCGGGAATTAAGTTATTGAGTTTAGTTCAAAATCGTTTGTGCTTTTGCCTTGCCTTAAAAGGTAGTGAAATATAGTGAGTGCGCTCATACGAAGGCCCGCCTATCAAAAGGTAGCTAAACGGAGAAGAGTGAAGTTCGCTATTCTTCGGAGCGAAACTTTCCCGACGGTCGCCAATCAACCATCGAC